TATCTGTTCAATCATTAACGTATTCTGTTTATTCATCTCTTACGTTTTATACTTAAGTATTGTATGTTAGGGTATGTTGTGCTTCTTGTTTTACAAGAGAATCCGCAATGAATATTATTAGGCCTAGGCCTATGAAAGTCAGACTCCGGAGGGAAAAATATTTTTGATGTGTTGTAGCACTGATTTTTCTAAGACAGAAAAAAAGTTGTCTGACAAAAATGGGGAACGGTAAATTAGATACAGATTTTTGAATATTTAAAAACTGGGGGAAAAGGTATAAAAAGGGGCGGTTACGCCCCTTTTCCCCCAGTTCCTTTACATTGTGATAGTAAGTACATATCAATTTTAATTTTTAAAATTGATTTAATTATTTGTAAACCATACCCAAAACGAAAAAATTTATATCTAACAGTAAATAATACACTGACAGTTATAAGGGGATTAATATTAGCACTTCCATTTAGGCCTAGGTATTCAGCATGGTTATGGCCGCCTAACCCTTCGACTACCACAAGCACAGGCACCTGTATAATTATTATCTTCAATACCCATGAACTACACGATATTAACTCTTTCTCTCTCTATACGGGCATTATAAAATTGGGAATTTTAATTCAAGCGAGTGAGAAACCCGAGGTTGTTTTCAATAAACAAATTGATTGCGTGTTTTTAAAAATGTGAACACTAGACAACGTATTTTTAATAAAAAGAGAAGTGATGGAACACTTGCTTAAAGAAGTTACTGAGTAAGTGTCGTGAATCTATTTATCTTGTGGAATGTCAATGAATCACGTTCGTCATATAAAAATGCGTGTAAAATATCTTCGGTTTTTTGGGTTTTTTTTTTTTTTTTTTTTTTTTTTGTTTTTGTTTTTTTGTTTTTTTTTTTTAAAGTGGTTAACCTGTTTTAATGTAGCATAGCATACTTAGAAGGAAACGCGATTGTGTTTTGGTTAATTTTTAAAAACTGCTTTCTGTATGAGCATGAAACTTTAGTAGAGAGAAACAAAAACAGCCCCTCACAATTGATAGTACCTTGTACCTTGTGGTTTCTTCGGAAACAGTCCGCTGGGACTATGCGCTGGACGCTGACGTGCGTGGTTTAAAAAAGGGTCACTGTGAGGAAGAAAGGGCGGTCTAAAACCAGCGGGGGAGGGAAATGTCTATACAGTTGATTGCTGTTTGAGAAAAATTTCGCAAATGGTAGCCTCGAGTTAAAATCACATGATTAAATCATGTGATAATATCAGTATATTTTTTTTATTGGAAAGACCTATTACACAAGCTTGAGAAAAAGTTCCAATGGGAAAATCCAAAGCACGTTGTTAGAGCATGCAATTGCTAAGGCGAGTCTTAAGGTTCGAATCAAAACGGGAATGATACATTTTCTAAAAAATACATTATCATTTTTTATTCATCAATGTGGAGGTGTTTCTCCATACCAAAGTTACTAACATCCTTTAGATGCAACAGTTATTTTGCTTTTCAACAAGTAATAATTCAACAGAATTTCTCTTAAGATGATTATGAAGGATAGTCCTATTTTACATCGTGTGTGAAAATAGGTTTAATTACTTAAAGAGATTGAGCAGGTTAGGTCTAGTCTATTTGTAAATGTTTGTGGCTTACGTGAATAGACATTAATTTAACGGCCTCGTAATTTCTCTCTCGTAGGCCTTTCATATTTTTCTACATTTTAACTCGCATTGTTTCCAAATTCTAATCATTTTAGGATATGTACCCGGCATTCCTATTTACTTTCATTGTTTCTGTTTAACTGTCAATTTGAAAATATATAATCCAACAAAACACAATGAATTGGTGAAATGTTTTAATTTGGAAAACTGAAAAAGGGGCTTCACAAAGCAACGAGGTAGGCCTATTTGATAGTCATAATTCCTACACAGAGAGATACTGATAGAATTTAGTCGGGTTATCACAAATTGCATGCTAAAGTCAGTACGAACAATTAGACAACGAATGATCAGTTTAATGCGGAACGAAATTTCCTTAGTTAGCAGTATACAAGTTACGGTATTTTTTCCATCAATAAAATACAAAATGCACACACCAACATAACATAACAGTAGTGGTAGTGTCTACCACTACTGTTATTACATTTTATTGTGTACTGTATACATGTACTGTATATATATGTACTGTATGTGTGTATGTATGTATATGTATGTATATGCATATGTATATATATATATATATATATATATATATTTATTTTGTGTTTATATTTTTGGATTTCTATATATTTTTAACTGGTGGCCACGGCTTAAAGTTTTATTCTAGACCTATTTTGGCCTCCTTCCACACACTTATTCTGTAATGTACTATTATTCTTAGTTGGTAATACTATTAAGCTTTTGTTATGTATGTTAATATGTTCATGTGTGTGGAGAAATAAATTAAACAAACAAACAAACAAACTGTCTTAGGTTCGATTCCCACCCGAATCACTTGTAAGATTTTTTGAAAACGTATAGAGTTCAGTCGATAACACAAGAAATAAATGTGGGAGGATCTCACTGAAGACGAAAAAAAATCATTATCACCCTCTCTATTACTTTACTTTATCATTAATATAAACATAATTCCATATTAGAACTAGTCCTACCGCAATTGTAATTTATGTATTATTTATAATATATAAATATTTATTTTATAATTAATTATTCTGAATTTGAATGTTTTTTATATATTGTTTTCAACTTCTTTTTGTATTACCACTTTTTAATGTATCTGCATTTCTTTTTTATATTTATCCTTTGTATTATTATATCTAAATGATGTATTTTCATTTGTAATAAAATAAAATTGAATTGAATGTACGTCTGTCATTATTTAAGTATCTAAGCTTAGCACTTAATTAATATGTGGCTTGTTTGAACATCGTTTCTTTACTTAGGTCAGTTCGACTAAATATTTAGGTTCTTTGTTTTTCGAATGTCAACAAGTGGGAACATTTTTATATGGCTATTCCTGTCAATCACCAAAAGGTCAAGGAAGTAATTTAGAAACTGTAAAAACATATTATAACAAATATTTATCACCAAATGCCTGTCTTACTATTAAAATAATGGAATGCAACTCTCTCGGAAACGATAAAGCAGTCGATTTTATCTGGCATGAAGATTACTGGCTACCTTAAGATTTTAGTGACTTATTAACTAACTCCTTATACTATGCCTATTGACGTGAGCATATGTATATGCATGCTTTTACTGATTTTGTGTAGGAGAATTTTTTCAAGTTACGTGCAATCATTCAGAAACGAATACAGTAGAACGCCACATGAATCGAACGAATGATTAATTGATGAGATTGATTGATTGATTGAATGATAGATTGTATACGCAATAATGAAGGTAATCTACCTAATTACTTGGACACGGAACTATAAACCCCTTTGTATACATTCAACCCGCTAATCCCCCAATGGTCAATATACACCTACTACACACTTTCTTGTACAAAGTACTGTACTTGAAAAAATGACCACTCTATTAGGCCAATGGTCGTTGATATGTATTCCAGAATATAATGTGGTCGAACTAAATGACCTTAATAATTAATCATTACTTGATGGATAATCTGACCGGTGGAAAGTAGTTCCGACGGAAGAAGTGGTCTACTGAAGGTGTCACGAAATTTAGTCAGCCTAAAATGTTTTAGAAACAAAATATTACATTTAAAAAAATAGGCTACGATTTTAAACGTTTTTGGTGCATGCATCTTGGGTTATGCCTATTTTGACACTTCATGTTTTGTTAAAAACCATAGCCGATATTAGTAATCCATAACCATGGAAATGGGACGACCTTGAGAAATGACCATCGGAAAGCAAAGAAGAAACGCAAAGTTTTAACTGCAGTTTCGTAATCCAATATCAATCCACATCCGGTAATAATTGGAAAGCTTATTGTTTCCGATCCATTCTCTTAAATAATTGTTTTCTTGCCAAAAAAAATCATTAATTATCGAATACGTGCGTTTAGAAGGATACATTTTTTAATGCTAGTCTGCCGGATCACTGTAGGTTAAATGCATGTTATCTTTGAAAACATGCATTTCCATGTTGTCACGTAATAAAACTAAATATGATGAATGAATGAATGAATCTATAAATGGACAGATGAATTAATGAATCAATGAAACATTCAATCAATATGTACTGTACATTTAATTTAATTTACTTATTTCTTAATATTTCATTAATTTATTCATTAAAGCTTGACAGTGTATGAAGTGAGTGTGGCAAAAAGAAGGACTAGAACAAGGTTTAATGTTAACTTGCAGGTGTGCACAGCAGCACAAAGTCATTCACTCAAGAAAAGAATGATCCACTCAATAAATTATACAATCAATTAAAATATTTTGATTCCAAAAATCTTAGTTTACACATTTATTTACATTATACACTTAGAATAGTACTTAATTATTATAATGCATAACCAGCACTATTCTGGCACTATAGTATCAGTGCTATACTGCTATAATTCCTGAAGATGACCTAATGAAGGTTGAAACGTCGAATCATGGCCTCCCTCACGTTGTTAATCAAAGTAACGTTCATTCTATACTGTTACAAGCCACAGCTCTTTTTTAAGAGCCTACCCGCCATCATTTGGCTGGCATAAAAGAAACTTGATTTATCTCTTTCTTCAAGTTTAATAAAGTATTTCATATTCATATTTTAATATTAACTGGTGAAAATTTAAATTAAATCTTTGTAAGAATTATTTAATATTCACATTTTCATATGAAATATCATAAATTTATTAAAACAGAAAATCCTTTACAATTCATATTGAAATCATAGCTCCCCACCGTTTAATTTCAATAATTAATATTTACCGTATACAGTAATATGGAAAATATAATTTTACTAAATTTTATAAATACAAGTCTCCCTCCAATTAAAGACCAATTTTGGGACCGGTGTTTCCATGGTCTTTAGCAGCTTTGGTCTCTAATTAGAATATAATAAAGATAAGACATTTGTTAATATGGGACCACAGAAAAGTGGTCTTTAATTAGAGGTGGTCAATAATTGGAAAGGTCTTCAATTAGAGGGAGACCTTTATATACATAAACAATTAATGTTTATTACGATATTAACACTAGAGCCACAATCTACAGGCTCAAACATTCGTCCTCTTTCATTCTACCAAGTTTCAGTTTTATCACCACTTTAATATGAAGCACATATGAGTACCACCCTCAGGCTCTGCTAATTTTCTTTTCAAAAAAAATGTTCAGCAACAATTTTCGACTACTGCATTTGCTTTTATTTGGAAACCCTGGTTTGGTTCTGAAAACCTATTTCAAGTAGGTCCTTCTGGTGGTGAATTGAGCAGTACACTGGGAGACAACCCCCTGCTTATTTACAGTATGAAGAGTATACTGCTTGTTATATCAAATGCACACATGAAAAACAGCTTTAAAATCTCATCCGAAAGACGTTGTGTTATACAGTCTATTATTCTTGCATTGCAGACCAACGTTATGCAAGGATCTCTACAGTTTAGCGCACACACTTTGAGGGGACTCCGCTATGCTGCTGCTCTCTCTCTTTCTAATAAATATATGCTAATCATAAATCCTTGATCATGATTGGTTGTCTGGTGGTAACAACGGTGATGGTTTTCTGGTCTCCTGGTGAAGTTCATACAATTGTCCAACTTGCTCAGGTCTGAAGTCCTCCAACTGCTCAACGCTTATAAAATTACCTATTGGGATTCTCCCTCCAGATTCACGTAATTGTTCCTCAAGTTGATTTGCATAACTCTGCAGATGAAAATATTCAGAATTGTATGTTAAAATTTACACAACAGTTATATACCTACCAGTATGTTAATTATTAATACCAGCTCATATACCAAGGGGGTCAATAATAATATAAAACAATTCTAAAATATAAAAAAAAAAATTTTAATAGCTAAAATATTATCAGTACTAATTAAAATATAACAAAATATTTATTATATTAAAAAAATACTAAGAACTTTATAATGAAATTGATAATTATATACTGTAGTATAACATTAAATTCATCCATCTTTGCTGTGGTTAGCTGCAATGTAGCACCTGATCACAGCTGACCAATAACAATGTTAATGTTTATTTATATACCATTTATTATATATTTTATAATCTGCATGAGACAAACTTCTAAAAGCCAGTTTATTTTAGTATCAAAAAATGTTCATCATCATGTTTCGTTTCCAAGCATATTTATGTTGGATCCAATGTTTATATTGCATATTTAGAACTAAATATATTTTAATGTTCAACAAAATAAAATGTTCCTGCAAGAAATCATACTGAACAATAAAACAAATCTAAAATTCCTGATTTATTAATACAAAAACAAATTAAAGAATTTAAGTATAGCATCATACCATCCATTCTGTCATGAAAACTTTGACTTCCTCTTCTTTGGCCATTTTGTGACTCTTGAATTCAGACTTCACATACTGGTCACCAATTGCCTTAAGTTCCATGGGAAGTCGCTGATGCAGTCTTAGGATTCTTTTATATAAGCTTCTTACAACCAGTACATGAGATGTGGATGACATATTAATTATCTGAATATCAAAATTTATCGATCAAAATCAATCAAAATAGGGGAAGAAAAAGATTAGATTGAAAAACTTTATTGAAAAGAATACATGACTAAGGGTCATGCTCTAGTATTGCTGTTAGCATTGTACAGGTAGTTACATTTATCTTGTAGGAGGTGGTAGATGCTCCATCTGGATGAGTCTGTCAAAGACTAGTTCCTCCCTCTGTGCCCCCTCTAATCTATTTCAAAGTCATTAATCTGCCACTGTATTGCATATGGCATGCCTAGCTACTGAAATGCCTACTACTTACGAGGGCCAAGCTAGGCTCTAGTCTAGTAGGCCTAGGCCCCTTATTAGGCCGATAAATAGGCTATGCCGTGAGCATAGGCCTATAATCTCACTCACAGTCTGGACAGCCTGGCTGGCCTAACCACACTAAACTAACCTATTCTATTCTATATGCTATGCCGGACCTAGGAAAGTAGTTATCTAGCATAGCCCCTCCCAGGACCCTGCTAACTAAACTATAAAGATCACGTACGATTGTATAAAATATCAACTTAAAAGGAGTCCATAATGAATTCGTCATACCCTGCCTGCGTATGTTTGGGGTGTCTTTACTTTACTTTTTTTTGGATCATGCTCCAGCACGACCTAGACTGAGAGACAAACAGAGCAGCAGACGACAAAATGGATGACGACCCTTCTATAGAAAAGTAAATTATTATGAAATTTTAAAAATAATATTATTTATTAAAATACATTAAAATACATATATAAAATTCTATTTTACTAAAATATTTTATTTTATAGTATTATAGTTTATAAATATAATACTAAATAAATATATTATAACATTTACAAATCTTTACTTTGTTCAGAAGTCAATAATCTAGGCCTAACACCGAGCAGATTTGAGGTTACAGAATTGGGTGTGTATTTTGATTTAGAATCATGTGTAAAACTACTAAATAATGCATTGACTTTATTCATATATCTATCGTAAATGTAAAAATTATTTGTGTGTTTGTTAAGTAGCAATATCAATTCGATTTAACAATCTGGATTCCTATACTTTTCCAAAAATAAGTTTCCGTAGGCCTACTGACCGTCTGTTTGTCTCACAAACAGCTGCCTGCCTTGGTGTGGATACTCAGGAGGAGGCTGCGATGGACTGGGCCTAGCCAAGCCTAGCGTTTGGCCTAGGCCTAGCTAGGAAGGCTCCAGCCTTTCGGGACAGAGATGTAGCTAGCTAGGAAATTGTCGTTTTGTGGTTACACGTTGATATCTATCTGCAAGACAAGTAGTAAACATTATTATTGAATATATTATATATATATGAATGAAATACAGCCTACATTGTGACAGGTCTCCCTCCAGAGTCAATCAATTAATCAATCAATCAATCGTTCCATTTTTATGGCACCATTCCAACAGTCGTTGCTCATGGTGCCGTTCCAAAAAAAATGCAGAGTCCAGTTTAGTTATACAGTATTGTTATAATATTATTAAAGACCACTATAGGGGCAGGGGTTTCCATTTAGCAGTTTTGGTCTCAAGGCGTAATTAGAAAAATATTAAATAGAGATTAAAAAGACATTTGTTAATTTGGGACTTTTTATTAGAAGTGGTTTTAAATTGGAGGGGTCTTTTTTACTCTTCCTGATCATCAACTTAGTCTTTTGAGCCAGGTCTACAATAGAACACAATCTCATATGTTGGTGATTTATTCTGATAATAATAATGGAAATTGTATAGAGCCGTGGCAGTAATGGTTCTTTAACAGACTTTTTCGGTGCAGCAATGTAAAACTTTCGCCTGTGCATGCTGCAGAAATTCATAGTTGCATATGTCATAAGCCTGTGCTACTGTTAAAATGATAAGAAAACATGTTTTCTTGTTCTAATTATAAAGCTAGTATTTTGTTCAAAATGTATGTTTTGTTAAACATACAATACAAAACCATACTGTAAAGTAACTTAATTGCATGAATGGTACCTCAAAAACTAGCTCAAATTTGTCTGTAGAAATGCATCTGCAGAGTTGTAATTGCTGCATAAATGTTAAGATTAGGACAAGGCCTAAGTTTTGGCAAAACTTGTATAGATATTTTCTGAAATGCATGGATGGATTTCTAGGTCTAATTTTTTGTGGAGGATATTATTTCCTGTGCAGGCCTTTTTTACAGTGGATACCTCTACTGTATGGTGTAACACATTGGTTGTGTGTCCTCTGATTTAATCTTGCTAGATTTTTATATGTTGAAATTTGCCTGGTTCTACTATTTTGACATTTTTCATTAGTTTGACAGAGCCAGGAACTAAATTAAGCCTCTGGTGCTAAAAGACTAGGTTTACAGGCATTAATTTTTAAATAGAATAAATGCCAGGGACTTAAACAGGTGCATCTTGATGTAAATACCCATTTCTTTCTCATTTTCTTTTTAGGTCAATTTGAGTTGTGTCACACGGAGAACCAACCATGTCGGACCGAAAGGCAGAGCTAGAGGCAAAGAAAAAGAGGCTGCAGGAAATTAGGGACATGAAAAAGAAGAAGGATGAAGATAAAAAGAAAAAAGAAGTAAGCATTCACAACCTTTGCCAGCATGACTGTTAGCATTGCAACAAAATAAATATAAAAAAGACAAACTGTGTAAGAGCTCATCAGAGTCAGCAACCCATCCATGCTTAGTTTAAATAGTAGGATTAGTTTTCATCTTACCTGTATTTCTTAATTTATTAATTTATTCTTTGTTAACTTAAGGCATCATGATTCGCATCATTATCATCATTATTCTTTGTATGATAACAGTAAAGACACAAGCATTAATTAAAACCGCCTTGAGCATTACTGTATTTAGGTGAGACTTTTTTTATTCCTTGTTTTGCATACTTATTTTTTAAAAGTTCATCAGGGAGGGTGAAATAGAAATAAAATTTTGTTTTCTTATTTAGCAAATAGTTTTGCCAAAAACATCCAGATGGAGGAAAAAATAAAAATAAAATTGTATTTGTGAATGTAAAATAGGATGGCTAAATGCTTCATATATAATTAGGAAGAAACATACAATTCTTATCTTTAGAGATTTCAAGGCAGCGGAGGGTGTAATAAAAATAAAGAAAAACATATTTTTTTGTGAAATTTCCACTTTTTCGTGGCTGCGGGTGCGCTAATTGACCAAAAATAATATGTTATTATTATTCGAAATCATTAATATAAATTGCAGTCAGTGGGCTCGCTAAACAAGGTATAAAAAAAGTCTTGCCTTAGTAGTGGAGAACAAAAAATATCTTTTAAGTATTCCATTCAATCATAATAAATTTAGTAACAATAATAATAATAATTCTGGAAATTCTGGTGCTTCACAGTAATGTAAGAGAAGAAAATAAACCATAAACTAAAATAATCAATCAATCAATCGATTTATAAGGTGCATAATACAGCTGTCTCTATGCGCCAATAAAAAATAAAAAAAGAATTATAAAGTGAAGCAAGCAAACAAAATGGGTGCGAGAATAAGTAACATCAGGTAGAGTCAGTGTGCCATTTTTCCACACTTTCTGATCCAGCCGGAAACATAATTCACAGGATCACCGTACCTACCCATTTCCCAACAACACCTGGAAATGACCCACTCAAGAAAAAAATAAATATATAAAAACTATGAGTAAATAAATAATTAAAATGTCCAATAAATTACGAGAGAGCAGCTAAGCTCAGTGAGAGCAGCTTAGCTCAGTTTGCTAATCTAGTGGTAGCTATTGTGTGCTATGAACCGTGGAAATTTCTAGGTCCCCAGTTCATTTCGCCTCGCTGCCTCACATTGTGTTTTAGCTTACAATAGTGCACCGTCCTTTGGGTGAGACGTTTAAGCCATTGGTCCTATGTACATTTATGGCCCGTGTGCGCATTAAAGAACGCAGTACACTCTTTGGAAAGGAGTAGGGGATTGTCTCCCGGTATACTATCCAATCACCACCAAGGGGACCCTATAAGTCTTCTAGACTTTGGCTGGATATCCTTGGTGTTTACACCGAATAAATCCAATCCAGTCATATAAAACAAGGAAGTATTTTACAAGTGTACCATTCATTATTAATCAATATATTTTTGGGGGTTTAGTTTAGTTTAATTTAGTTTTAAAAATGAATTTGATGATTATTAATAATTATTAATTAATAGTTAGTTTTGTTAAGTTAAGATTTATTCAATTCAGCCCAAAAAAATTGTTAAACATTTACCCATAGCTTGTTACTTTTATTATCATTTCATAACATAATAATTAATAATAATAATTTGGATTTGTAAAGCGCAAAATACATAGGTCTCTATGCGCTAGAAATTTGCAAATTAAAATAAACTAAAGAGATGAGCCTTGAGACGATTTTTAAATATCTCAACAGAAGGAGACTCACGAACAAAAATAGGCAAGCTATTCCACACCTTGGGAGCAGCAACGGAAAATGCTCTTTCACCATACGTTCTTGTACGACATGAAGGGATGAATAATGTAGATGAAATAGACTTTATAGCAACCATAACTAACGTTCAAGTTATTCCTTGTTAGAAGTTGAATAACATATTATCACACAAGCTTAGAAAAGAATAAAAATATAGTTGTTTTTTGCTGCAGAAATAAATTCTTATTTTTTATTAAGAGTAATAATACAGGTTATCAAACTGTATAATAAAAATCATGGGTTTCTAATTTTTCAAAAAGAAAACTTTTTATATCTTAAGATAGCTAATAAATATTATAGCCTCCTCAAATGAGGCTTACCACATTATGAGTAGTTTATTTTATATAGTCAAGCATTGTCAATAGTATATCCAAATTTTAGTCTGATAAGTACTGCACCATGACCTTCAATACATTCCCTATTGCAATCCGCCTCCATGTGTCGTTAAATACAAAAAAAATGCATTTACGGTAATTGTCCCATTGATTTCTTTTTGAACACTTTCACTTGTATTTCAAAATTGACAAATAACTAGATTCAGAAAGATCCTAGAGCAATTTATGAAATGTCTGCAAATTGGTTCACTGATTGATGTCATAAATGTTTATTGGGACTGAGCTTGTTACTGTTACGGTGGTAACTGTGCATAATGGAGCTTGTTACTACAATATTACCCAGGTCCATGGATGTAGCATCAATCATGCTCCTGATATGGAACATCCTCCGCAACCAGAGGAGTATTTATTTATTTTATTTATTTCCATAAACCTCACGAAGGAGAAGCAAGTGTGTATGACATGAATAAAATACCGTACAACATAAAAGCAAAAAGTTAAAAAAGACAATAATAATCTATAAATACTATCTAAGTCATTATTAAATAATAAGGACTTAAATACTATCACAGATTCCATGATCATTACAAAAATTATTCTTAAAATATGATTTAACATGCATACGGTATTTAACATTAAAAATGGATTTAATAAACGAAAAGTTGTCAGTGTGAGCAAAAATTATAACACGTCGTGAGAGACTAAGGTGCCCTTAAAATGAGATATCATTGTTAAAATAGGAATTTAATAAGTTTGAATAAGATGAACGAGAAGCGGAATTGCTATTAAAAATCTGGGCCATGAGGTCTACTGAAAGCATTTAAATATATTACTGACTTTTGGCACGTCAATTGCATGAATAATAGGGGTGCTTCAGCAAAATTTAGGTATGCCAGTTGCAGCTTTCAGAACTTATTCTCTAGCTTGTCAAGTTTATTGATATCGGAGTCGCTTAAGTCAACACATTGTTTAACGTAGGTTAAAATAGGAGCTAAGATGGAGTCCCATAAGTAAACTTTTACATCATTATTGACCCCAACTTTACAAAAGCCGACACCCTGTAATGAGAAAAATGCCTGTTGACTTTTTCTAATACGTTCATGTACATGGCGATTGCCTTTCAAGTTTGATGAATGAGTAACACCAACGTAAGTTAGTTTTTAAACAGATGACAAAATATTCCTTATCACACATGTAATTCAGCAAAAACCAATTCATCCCAAATCATTCACCGCTTGGTACCCATTACGTACGTGGGTGGAGAGAGAAAAGTCATATTTGTTTGGCAGCCAACAAGATTTCACAAGTATTTGTGGTAAAATCTGGGAAAGCTTCCAAAATATTCCATGAAATCCTTGGAATTCCACATTGTCATTATATAATGCATGGTTGTCAAAGATTTTGCCTGGTAAATTCCCTGGAACCACAGACAGATTGAAGTGACACATACAGTAGTATTTCCAAATGCAAAAGTCACATTCCTATTGGAAGCACATCAACCGCACGAATGCATTTATTGCTTTAACATTCAATGAGGTGATGTCTCCTTCCTCACTCGGCCATCACCTGATTATTTGCTACCCACAATCAGGTTAATAAAGTTAAACTATAGCAAAATTGAACCTAAGACTAAAGGCTAAACAATATCCCATATTGTAACAGCTTTATTTATCTACTGTATAATACCATGTCGATTGAATGGCGGTATGATATGGGTCTTTTCTTTTTTACCGGTCATAGATGGGTAGTAATTGCTAGTTTCAAAAACATGAAATCAGATCATCTTCCAGTGCCCTTCCCCCCCCCCCCCCCCCCATATCATAATCATTCAATTTAGCTATTTGCAGACTTTTTGCTTTGGAAATCCTCAATTTACAGTATTTTTCAATTTGAGGGCCAAATAAGAAAGGTAAATTATGCATTTGTTAATTAGCAAGCAATATAAATTTATCCTGTTGTTCTAATTTTTATTAAAAATATTAAACCATACTATAATACAATAATACTATAATATAATTTGTTCAGTTTAAAGTATTTGTCCAATTATGTACCTGTGTGTGTACTGTAACTCCCTACATTACCAAATTCATGTAATTTTTTTGTTTTCAAAATTATTATTTTGATGCAAGATAGATGTTTGTTCTAGCACTATGGATGTCAATATTGTTTTTACTGATGATGTATAATCCAAATTGTCATAATTTTTTGCCCTGCTTTTGAGACACAAACAGACTTAAAAATGTTACTTCTCAAGCTTTAATTATTAAATTTAATACCTTAACAATGACTGCTTTAAATAATAATAATAATATTTATAATAATAATAATAATGATAATAATAATAATATTTATTTGGCATTCAAGATATCTTTTGCCAGGAAAGAGAATAGGAAATTAGCCCAAACAAACAATTTCCACTCTTTCCGCTTTAGTAGGCTACACTTACTACTTTACAACTAAAAAGCATACATTACTATATGAAGCAGTGAACCTTAGTTAGAATTGAGTGTAGACAATAAGTGCTTGAGTGATATCAGTTTGATCAAATGATAATTATTCAACATATTATTCAAATATGTTTTATCACTCATATAATTACTGCACAAATTTATGCTACTCTAACAATTACAACAGTATTAGTAGTACCAGCAGCTGTCTATCAAACATAACATTAAAATTATCTAATTGAATGTCTTGAACATTGCTACATACTTCAATGATCATTAATAATCAGGTTTTATATACAGTTGCACCAAAATCCATAGCAACCAATGTTTACATTTTTTTATATCAATACAAGAAGTGTTAAATAAAGAATTGAATTTATTTTGTATGTTATGTATTTATTTATTTTATATTTTTATTTAAACTTTATGTAAGAGAGTAACCCTTCCACCTGAACCCATAGGACAGTTGATATCCAGGGACTCCCTTTAAAAATGACAACAGATATGAAACTATACTTAAAAAATCAATGAAAAATATAAGGTCTAAGGTCATAAATATAGTAATTCTAGAAAAAACATGATATAATATGATTTATAATAAATTGTTTTTAACATCTATTTAATACTCTACTTCTTTCCATTAGGATTACTTGTTCAATGGCATATAGTAATAAAAGAGCACTAATACTTCAATTATTTTGAAGTATTTTTTATTAATCTTCATTGATGGTGCAATAGTAAAATATTGGTTCTGAACTATTACTATATGTGTAATCATTTGTTAATATTGATATTATAATGATTACTCTTATTACTTATATAAGAATCACAAATTTTGTTAATGGTGATATATTATATATCTACCTTTTGGTATCAAAATTTTTGTTTAAAATTAACAAAAATATGTTTTATCCCACTTTTTAGGTGGCTGGCAAAGCCGCAGCAGCAGCTGCTGCAACCGCATCACCCCTTTCAGAGTCTGACCTCGAAAGAAAGCGACGGGAAACAGATGACCTTCTACGTGACATTCTCCCCGAGGGTTGTAAGGATCAGATTCTGTTATGTTTTTTTCTTCAATTTAATTTTTGTTTGTCAAATACAATAAAAATTTAGGGTTTGAAATTCTGGTTATTTGTTCACAGATTACAATATTCACATTGACAAAACCACATGTAAAAAAAAAAAAACACATACATCACACCATAAAATGTTAAAATATAAAAAAGATGTTGAATTTGTCAAGGTTGTTGACCTCTAGACAAACAAATTAAAAGTCTAAAAAGTTTTGCATAAACATATTTTTACTGTCAGTATACTAAAATTCAGACTTTAACAATTTTAACCTTTATAATTTATCAAATAATATGAATTACATGAAAACCAAAATATACTATAAAATCTATAAAAAAAAAAATAATATAAATAATTTATTCAGTAATTTGTGTACAATAACAATCTGCATTCCTTCTACACATTCCTTCTGCTTACGGAAATCAATTAGGCGTCATGAACCATCCTGGTTAAAAAAAATAAATGGATAAATAAACTAGATGATTAAACATCAGATCAGCTATCTATAAATAAATAGATATAAATGAATAAATTAACAACTTTTCAGTAAAACATTCAGTACAACTTTCTTTTGATAATGGTTTAAAATCTTTGATTTTTTTTCTCACAAATAAAAAGACTCAGCTCCATTTTCTACTTCATATTGGATGACGAATTATTTGCTATAATAAATGTAATAAACTGAAACAACCTTAAAATGTACAACATTCATCTGTAGGTATTTAAAATTTCAACTCTTATTCCTAATTATATATTTTCTTAATTATTTCAGCATCGGTACCTTCTGCTGCTACTGCGAGTCCAATTAAAAATCAAGTGACCAAGTCCAAGGATGAAAGTATTTCCCAGCCGTTTGTTTCGTGAGTTCCTTTCGTTTGTTTTCTCAACTGGCATGGCCATATTGATTATCATTTTTGATTAAGTATTAAATGGTATCAGGTGTGTAACACCTATTTGTGCTCACTTTTTAAAGCCAGCGTTTCTATACCTTAATGTGTTTTGGGCTAATAATCAGCAATTTTTCTTGGGGTCATGGGAGCAGGGCTAATAAATGAGAAGAACATCTAAAAAGAAACATCAAAATGTGCCCATAAATTTTTGAAAACGCTGGAGCCGTTAAGGGCTTTGCCCTGTACCCCGCCCTCTGCAGCTCCCAGTGTAGTAGGGTTAAAAAAAGCCTTAGCCAGGTGCTACAGGCTTCTTCATTACACCACTGTATTATAATATACATGCTAAGCAGGCTCTGTATTGTCGTTGAATGAATTATATGGAATGGTTGTGTCAATATGGAAGGGATAGGTAATCTGACTGAAAATGTATTAACAATTCAGATATAATATAGAATGAAATTACTGATGGTGATGACGACAACAATCTGATGGTTGCGTCAATAACAAAGGACGAAGATAATTATTTTCTTATCAGGACATAATAATTTTTCCTTTTTTTTGGCAAACGTAACAATATTTAAATCCTTTTATTTAGGCCTAAGAGAAAAATAAAGCTGGGGATGTCACCAGTAAATGTGGCTGGATTTCCCCCAAAGGAACTTGTCACATATGCTAAAGAGACTCAGACACCTGTTGAAGAAGAGGAAAAAGATGGTAAGGTCTTTCAATTAAACATAATAAGTTTTCATTACTCATTCAATTTTTTTTAAATACACAGTAATTCATAAATTGAACTAAAATCCCAGAGAGAATCAATTTAAAACAAACCTTTAAATCTATCTTTTCTATCTTTTAGAGAGTAGATTTTTATAATCATACAGAACCTAACAATCTAATTTTCTACAGTAGAACTGTAGGCTTACTTTTAACTGTATAGTATTAGTATGATAATAGTATACAATGCTTATTTATCCACACAGTTAGAAGCAAAGGTAGAGAGTTATTAGACTAGAGAACACATTTGCTTTAGTATAAATTCTATATGTAAATGTTCTTGAAATGAAATTGGCCCATGATGCTATTTGCTTCCCAACTCTTCCTGAGTGTATTCCCTAAGGAGCAGAGAAAGTTGCTTATTTATTCCATATCCAATGACCAGGAAAATATAAGCAACATCACATTGAAACTATGTATGCATTATCGATACCATGGAGTATAAAATGTGATCAAATGAAGAGTTTAAATTTTTATATTAGCACTACCATAGTTTTTCAATGTTGAGATGGGGGATAAAGATATGTGGATATAAGTCCATGCTGGCATATAAAACCACCCACTAACTTTTGACTATTTTTTTTGCAAGAAGCTCCAACCTGACATGTTATTGTACTAAATACTCAGTACGTTCCCAAATATGGTGAAAAAAAAATTTCAAGTGATTCGGGTGGGAATCAAACCCACAACCTCCAGATGACCAGCCTGGCACCTTAACCACTAGACCACTGATCTTACGCTCAGTGATTAGTGTTTAGTCCGATCCCCAAGTAGCAGCAAGTACTCACATCAAAATAAAGTAAAATTGGAATCTGAGCCATCATTGTCAATATCTGATTAATTGAAAGAACCCTTCAAGGTGTGCACAGGATGTATTTCCAGAGGGGGTACTAAAACACATAACAAATGATTCCCTAAAGATAATAATTAAAAATTAAATAATAATTAAACAATTATTTAGGAGTCATAAATTGTAGTAGATAGTATAATTCAAAAATCAGTGTCCTATTCATCTCATAATCATAATGGAAATACTATAGAGTGGTAACTTGGTGTATTTCCCAAGAGAGCGAAGCATAACATGCCTCTCTTCAACTTCGTCACGTTTCAAGATCACTCAAAAAGAACCTTAACACTCATCAATAGATCCAATTAGGTGATTGCTTGTTTGTGTTAAGTTTCTTGAGATTTTAAATTGCACCAGCATTAATGGTGTTAAGTGAGGTAGTTTGATGGTTAATTTGATCTTTGTGATTCATCAGTTTTATGTGCACTGCACATATTCCTTGGTGAACATGAATGCCACACACTCTCACCGAATCACCTGTCATTAGCAGTAAATATTATTTAATCTATGAATATTATTTACAACTTGTGATATAGTTTTGCATATATATTTAACGTAGTAAGCAATGTAATATTAAATAACAGTTATATGTAATGCTATATTCAATTTATTATATATCAGTCTCAATGTAATTGGTAACAAATCTTATTTTTTTTCTAGAACATAATATGGTATATTTTTTTTAAAACAACATTAATATAAAAGAAGTAAATAATGGAAGAGATTAAATCCCAACTTACTGTAGTTTTCATATGTAAATTTGTATTGGATTTTATTTGTATTTTAAAATAATTTTTGGAAATAAAATTATTAAATTAAAGCCCTCTCCAGAGAAAAAAACTTGTTTTGTTATGTTGTACAACACAATTTTCTAAGACAAAAAGCATATTTGATGAAAAACTTGGAAGCAGTTAATGAGATATAGATTTTTGATTGTTTAGAAGCTGGAGGAAAAGGGGTGTAACCACCCTTTACTTTATTACACCTTTTCCCCCTATTTTTTAAATGTCCAAAAACCTGTATCTCATTAAACACTTCCGAGTTTTCCCTCAAATATGATTTTTGTGTCTTAGGAAAATCACTTGTATGAAGTATCAAGAATTTTTTTTTCCACCAGAGCTTGGCTTTAAATATCAATATTATTTCATTCTTCACTAAAAAACCACTAGTTTGAGTAAAGTCAGTTTAAGTGTTTATTATTTACATTTTTAAAATATCAGTGTATACTTCAATATGAAATTTTCACTATTTATTTCAGCTTGCAATAAAGCAATGAATTTCCTACTTTCTGATACTGATACAGCTTGCTGGTTAATTTCCTTGATCTAATCCCTGGGTCAAAGTACTGAAAATGCCAAGATTTTTTCCCACAAATAAAATATATTTCCATTGCCCATGCCTTAAAATAAGATTTAGATTTATAGAAGGTTGAATCATGGATCATTAATCACATAGTTACTCTAGTTTTCAGCATAATAATTGGCAAGTTGCTTTCTGTTGTATGTGAATAAATCAACATCGTGCTTTCTTATAACAGGCCTGCAGATGGTTATAAATATTAATATTATGATTTCCTTAGAGGCTGATTAAATAGCCTTTCTTACGTTTTGCATGTTTATATTTATACATTATTTCATTCCATCAATTTCTGCCTGAATTTAGTGTGCCTATTGTAAATGTTTCTATAAGTAATACTTCACTTTTTTGTGCCGTCTCCAATAAGTTTTCAATTTTCAAAGTCTATGTTTTATTCTTTTCCTCTAGTTATGATGTTTGAAGGTAGAGAATACTTTTGACTTCTTTTAATTTTGGGGAAATTTAACTTGTACTTTAGGTATTGAGGTTTTATGCAATATCCTTCTCACAGATGTTTGGATTGTATAAAAGTTAATTTGAAATTTTATGTTTAAATTTATTTGTACTATATTAAACATATATTTTAAAAATATTTAATAAAAAACAATACTATCATGTCAAACTAATTTCAATCGAAGCAAGTAAAACATAAATATTTCAATTCATTGACTTTAAAAATGAATCCAAACATCAGTACAGTACCGGTATATAAAAGTAGTTTTACTTTACTAAGCAACTTTTCTTAGTAAAAAGGTGAGATGTTAGAGGGAGCTCTTGTTGTTTTCAATGTTGGGTTTTAGAGGAAACTTTTTTTAGGTAAAAGGGTCTAAATTTGCTTTAACACTTTAATTCCAGAAAGATGTGGCACCGTGTTTGTGTTGCATTTCTTTGTTCCATATTTTTCTATCTGCTTACCTTTACTGTCATTACTTTAATTAATATCTTTCAATTTTAATTTTTTTATGTACTTTGGATTTGTGTAACATTTTTGAGTGTGATATTACTCCAAGTAAAACAGGTTTTCTCAACTTAATTGGGAATAATAATAACAAATTTTAAGTTTTTTAAATTTGTTGTTTGATTAATGGATGATTGTGCTCCAGAGGGTAATTTGTTTTTCTGTACAGTATGTCTATTAATAAATTGTATTGTTGTAACCTTTCTAAAAAGCTCCCATGGGCCATTGGATCCCTAATTCATGTTTAGCACAGTAAATACATAATTACGTGAGATTGCTTCTAATGATAAATTGTAATTTAAAGACAGTTTGTGGTGTTGGGCTTCAAGATCATGGGTTGATCCCTGCAACTGCAAGAGTTAAATTCCATGGTCAAGATTTTCAATCAGTCACCTTTTGTTCCTGTCACCGTCCATCAGTTGTTTAACAAGGGAAAGGGAAGTATATAAGCTAGGCTCTTGTTTCAGTATGCACCTTCAACTTCCATGGTCTTAGGTTCAAATTCTGTCATAAAAATAGTATTATTTTCTCAGGTTTAAAAAAAAAATCTTCATGCTACTATTAGGCTCCAATTATTTATAGAAGATCACTTACAGTAAATCTGAAAAACATGGCACACAGACTAAATAAGAGTTCTACTTTATAAATTTCTATATAGTTCTGTGTTTTTGAGATTGGATTGATACAAAATATTCATGAAATAAGAATTATGAAATCAGATAATAAAATGTTGTTTTAATGTCTTTAATTTATATTTCAAGTTTATATAAATATAAGTTTTTATAAAAATAAAATTTTTTAAAAATAAAGAAAAAGTATAATAGATATAATTCTAAATATTCAATAATAATGTAACACAAATATTACATCAAATTTAAACATGATTGACAGCAATGTTACTATAGTGATATTTTTAAATTTTAAGATATAGTTGAAATTACCATTATGTACTGGTTATAAGTCTGCAATGAAAAAAAAAAATGATTTGTTGCCCAGATATTTAACCAAGGTCTCATCCATCAGAAATCAGATTTAAAATTTCAGAAATGGCAGGCTCCTAGAATAAGGTCAGATGCCAAGGCTTCTTAAACTGGGCTTAGGTCTAGATCTATGCTGGTGTCAAAGTTTTATTGACTTTCTCTGGGAGACTGAGAAAACAAATTCACTTCCAATTGCAAGAATGTCTTCATTTCTATGCTGATTGAAAAGCTAATGTTTAATTTAACAAGGAACTCCCCAGAGTCTGATAAAAGACTTAATTTAATAAAATGCTATGTTATTCGATGTAAATCATACTACAATATACATTATGTTACTTTGCAAATTTGAAGGAAGCGACAAGAAAATTGAATAGACATCAGGTGATGAATGTAAATCACCTTATTATTGATCTGGAATTTTTTCACTTTCAACATTACCTCCAAGTTAATTACCTTGAGAGAATGTCATGAATTCAAAACAGTTTGAACAGACAGTTATGGAACTAGTTGTTTTATGTGTTTTCTTTTTAAATATATTTTGAGATAATATTCTTCCCTATTATTCAGAGTTTTCATCCGTCTGTACTGTAGTATGTAGTTTTATCCATCTGCAATATACAATGTTATCCATAGATCTGAGCTACTATACAGTATTATAAAACACAGTGTTTCCCACCTGTGTTATGTAGTGTTATACTTGTTCTACAGTATTATCTACAGTAATGTATTATGCATTGCAGTGTTATCCCTGTATTATGCAGTGTTATCCACTTGTATTATGCAATGTTATTTTTCTTGTCCTCCTACAGTATTATATCTGTCAGTGTTATCTTCCTGTATCATACTGTATTATGCAGTGTTATTCTTGTCCTACAGTATTATCTATCTGTATTATGCTGTGTTATCTACCTGTATTATGCAGTGTAATCCATTTGTATATGCAGTGTTATCTACCTATATCATACAGTGTTATATACCTGTATTATGTAGTACTGTATTATTCTTGTCCTACAGTATTATCTATCTGTATTATGCAGTGTTATCCACTTGTATTATGTAGTGTTATTCTTGTCCTCCAGTGTATCTGTATTATGCAGTGTTATCTACAATACCTGTATCATACAGTACACACCTGTATTATGTATTCTTATCCTCCCTGTCTCATTCCCTCTCTATTCAGCCGTGGATCTTGAGTTCATCCTCACTATCTCACAGCTATGGTCCCATCTTATAATGGTGACAAGTAGAGGGCGGGGTCATGAACAAGGAGAGCATAATGTTTGGTTGTTCTGTTAAATGGAAAACAAATGTTGGATGAATATATCCAACATCTCTTTTGAAATTGGACAATATATGCTATAGCAAACTATTAGGAAATTGTGATGAAAAAAGCTTAAAAATTGGCTTCACTATGTGTGAGCCCTCAAGTTGTATAAAAGGAAGAGACTAGTGGCCTTAGATCCGCAATAATATCATACAGGCCTCTGTTCTAAACAGCATTACACTGGCCGAGATAGCGAGTGATTGTGGAATCCATTCCCTCCAGAGACCACAAAATATGCCTTGGCAAACAATTATCATTGCACTCGAATTTCAGGATATGCAAAAGCCATGTAATTCACTTTATATGAAGATAATGAAATAACAGGCACAGTTCAAAAAGTGCTGAGCCAAGCAATATTGCAATATTGTTTAATTGAAATTATTAGGAAATCGTGATGATGTTATAATTATGTAAATGTCAATTCTAAACAAATTAATAAAAAAAAAAACAGATTGACTGCTTCATCAACAAATTGTGTTCATTCAAACATCTGCCAACTTAAACAAACACAATGAATGCCACTTTTTTAAGAGAATGAAATATTACGCATATTTAAAGGCTGATAAGCGAAGCAATATATTTTAATTAAAAAAATATTAATTTGAGATTTACTTTCCATACAGTAAAGAAAATTAATGTTGGTTTAATAGCTTTAAATAATGGATATTTTCAGTTTAGTATCGATCAGCATATCAGTATAATTATTGTTAAATTAGATAATCCAATACAATAGTATGTCATGTTTGCAATATGTTTACGATTCATGACCTAAATAGACATAGAACTGTTTTCTGATCTAACACCTACAACTGGAACTTTGAGTTTTAGTACTTTATAATCGGTCAGCAGCATGGCATTTTAATTTAAAAAATATCAACAATTTGAGATTTACTTTCCATACAGTAAAGAAAATTAATGTTGGTTTAATAGCTTTAAATAATGGATATTTTCAGTTTAGTATCGATCAGCATATCAGTATAATTATTGTTAAATTAGATAATCCAATACAATAGTATGTCATGTTTGCAATATGTTTACGATTCATGACCTAAATAGACATAGAGCTGTTTTCTGATCTAACACCTACAACTGGAACTTTGAGTTTCAGTACTTTATAATCGGTCAGCAGCATTTTATTATGGCAGTCAATGCTGGTGTCACAGAAAGTGGGGTAATCAATGCTGGTGTCACAGAAACTGGGGTAGTGGTGTATCCAGAATTTAAGGAACAGGCTTCTGAAAGAGGGTCCGGACTAGGTTAACGCATAGTTAGTACTAAGGTGCAAACATTTTCAGTATTTGGTAGGCTTTTAGGAGTAGGGGGGTAAAAAACCACTTCTTACGATGAATAGAACTAGGGAATTCCTCTATCACATCAAAGGGCCCGGCAAATAATCTTAAACTGGGGCCCTAGCTACGCCGCTACTTCCCCATTACCCCACTCCCCATTTGTCTACGGGGCTAGATATCCACTTCTTTTCACATAAAGCGAATACCAACAGGGAAACACGCAGATGGCACTCTTCTGACATATCTTTGGATGATACCATTATGTCAGGTGTTCCATCTTGACCAGATTTCCCCAATATTTTCCCCCAATAACTGTTTTTGTTACTATAAAAAATAATTTTTGCTTTTAGTTTTAATAATTTACATATCTTAGATTTTAGCAAGGGGGAAACCAAACATTTAGCGTGGGACTTCCTCCCCCTTAACTACAGGGCTGGGGAATAGTGCAGCAACTGAAAAAGAAAATCAATGTATCAAATTAAGCAGTGATTCAACAGTCAAGTGCCAACAAATTGTTGTAAGACATGTTACTGAATATATCATGACAGCCAGTGGCCTGAAACAAAAATTTTTTTTTTTTTTAAATTACCTTACTTCAAAGATAATACACTTAAGAAACCTTTATTTATAGGGATACATTTATGAAAATACATCTGTATCAATTTTTAAAATTAAAGAGTATTTATTGTTAAAAAAAACTTGAATCTGTTTGATTATATTTTAAAATCTGGTCTTCAATTGGAGGTCATTTTGTTACTTGGTACTTCCATAAAAGTGGTCTCAGTCTTGAATTAGAGGGGTCTCTTAATTAGAGGTTAAGCTCAGTATTAAATGATAGGTGGTCTGTTGGTACTTTGAAAAAATGGGCTCCAATTAGAGAGGTCTCAGAATTAGAGGAGTTTCGAATTGGAGGGCGGACTGTACTTATTATTTAAAAGAATTAGCTCCGTCATGTTGGTAACTTCGATGAAAGCTCGCAGCAGGTTTATATCCAATTAATTACAGTTCCTTTTAAATAACATCGTTAAGTTACTATCACTTCCATATTTTTTTTATAAATTATCTGTTATCCTGACCTTTGCCATGGCGAAGGTCTTTATATGCGCCTGCTATTTCAAATACCTTGATCTGCAACTGATATCATATAATTTATTTTGCGTTAAAAACAATCTAGAGTACAATCACAAATATTAGAAAAACGAGCACATCTAAAATCCCATGATCCAAAAAGGGGTCCCCCCCCCAGTCTCAGAAAGCCAGTGTCTACCTGTATCATACAGTGTTATCCACCTGTATTATGTAGTGTTATTCTTGTCAAACATTGTATCTGTATTATGCAGTGTTATTCACCGACTGTATATCATACAGTGTTGTACACCTGTATCATGTAGTATTCTCTGGGGTATCAATCAGCATTTGTATGTAACCCAGAATTTGTGTAACTTGGTAACAAAATGTCCATGTCAGAGCTGGTTTACAAAAAAATATCTCTGTGGGTTGTGAAATGTCTGCCACCCTTGTTCTTCGACGACAAGTCAGTCTTTCTTTTTTCAGTGTACTATGAATTTTAAAATCCTGACATGTAATACTTACTTTTCATTAATTTTTGCAAAAATCACCAAACATTTGCATGTACTTTGCATTTTTTAAATTGTTTTATACCTTAATTCATCTCAAATGTCATGTTATTGGGCTAGGCCTATAGTACATGTTAGAAGCCCACAGGAGATGGCATAAAATTGGAGGCCTGCAGGGATAGTGGCATATGCTTTGAGGACCACAGAAATACTTTGCCTTCAGTCTACATATCGGTGGCCTGCAGGGATATCTTGCCTAAAGGCCCTCAAACAGCTTTTTTATGTTGTGTATTTTGTTTGCTTTCTAGATAAAGAGGGAAGGCTGTGGGAATGGCTGGGTAAAGAAAGGCATCATCGCATGTGTATACTTCAGTTATGCATTTCTTAAAATTTAAAATGGAATTTCATTTCTAATATCTTATTTTCAAATTTATGCATCTTTCATTTTAGAATTAGTGCTTGTGCATTGTGCTTTTTAAATTTGATCATTTTTATTTTCCTGTAATATTTCCATCTTAATATTTTGTTTATTAATATTATAATTATCATAATCAGTTTTTTTATATCATTGAAGTATTTTTATATCATTAAAGGGAATTGTTCAAATATAATTTTATCATGAAATTATTTAATTTCCTTATAATTATTATTTTATGCTATTAAAGATATTTGAGTTTATTATTTAATTACAGTATAATTTTTCATAATGTAATTCATATTTATATAATTAAAACAAAGTATTTTATATTTATAAGTCATAAGGAAATACTATTATTTTTCTTCAGAACATATTGGTATTATATTATTTCATTTTTCATTTTTCATTTTATTCATTTTTATTATATTTCTGTTAAATATTTATACTTATTTTATTATTTTGAAATGTCTTTTAAATTGATGGAAGTTATCAATAATAATAATTGTTAATCAGCTCTCTAATATCTTCATTGGAGTTATTTTACCCTACCATATCATCATTCATTATCATTTTCCATTGTGGGCATTAATTGTAAATTATTGATTGAAGCATAATGGATCCATTAACCTTTTCCTTGCATTAATTAACCTTCATTTAATTAAGGATTGATGGTACTGTCCTAGAGCATATTGTTTGATTCTAATTTATCAAGGGAGTGCCATTGAATAGTCTTGTGGAAGATATGGTAGAAGCTAATTTCACAATTAAGATTACTAATTGATGTAGAAAAACACAAGGGAATAGTAGAATATTGTATTGCTGACAGTGATGATGACTGTGGTAGTTGTAGGGATAATAATATCAGTGATGGTATAGCTAGAAATTAAACTTTGTTGTGTTATCCAACCATAGTGACAGAAATCAGGGGTGTGATGTGGTGATGGTGGTGTGCTGATTGGGATGTGGTGATAATGATATGGTTATCATGAGGACGTGGATTTGAATGAGGAGGATAAAAATGAGGGTGATTTGTTTAAAATAATAACAATTATAATAATAATAATAGTGTAGTTTTATATAGCGCCAGTATCTATCAAACATGATGCCCATGGCGCTTGACTTCGTGTCCGTACTACCCAGTACTAGCAAATCTCCTCGTCCACTATGGAGGCTGTCTGTACCAGTACACCGGGGTATCCCCTACACCTCTCGAATGATGTATTGGGTTCTTTATAATGCACACGAGCTATTGTATACACTGAGCCTATGGTTTATAGTCCTTATCCGAGAAGAACCATGTAGGCAAGCGTCACCTTTTCGAACCAGCGCTAATATTATGGCTCTACTGTAGGCTGCTATAACCGCTTGGCCAATCCTCTAATATTCAAAACATTTGGGTAATCCTTTAAAATCTTGAGAGCTGATGACATGATGATGCTAATGGTAATAATGGTTGTGTTAATGGTGAGGATGGTATAGATGATGTGGTGTTTGTGATGCTAAAGGTTGTGATAATGGTTGTGTTGTGGTGAGGATGGTATAGATGATGTGGTGTTTGTGATGCTAATGGTGATAATGGTTGTGTTGATGGTGAGGATAGTATAGATGATGTGGTGTTTGTGATGCTAATGGTGATAATGGTTGTGTTGATGGTGAGGATAGTATAGATGATGTGGTGTTTGTGATGCTAATGGTGATAATGGTTGTGTTGTGGTGAAGATGGTATAGATGGTGTGGTGTTTGTGATGCTAATGGTGATAATGGTTGTGTTGTGGTGAGGATTGTATAGATGGTGTGGTGTTTGTGATGCTAATGTTGATGATAATGGTTGTGTTGTGGTGAGGATGGTATAGATGATGTGGTGTTTGTGATGCTAATGGTGATGATGGTTGTGTTGATGGTGAGGATGGTATAGATGATGTGGTGTTTCAAGTTTGTGATGCTAATGGTGATGATGGTTGTGTTGTGGTGAGGATGGTATAGATGGGGTGGTGTTTGTAATGCTAATGGTTGTGATAATGGTTGTGTTGTGGTGAGGATGGTATAGATGATGTGGTGTTTGTGATGCTAATGGTGATGATGGTTGTGTTGATGGTGAGGATGGTATAGATGATGTGGTGTTTCAAGTTTGTGATGCTAATGGTGATAATGGTTGTGTTGATGGTGAGGATGGTATAGATGATGTGGTGTTTGTGATGCTAATGGTGAGGATGGTATAGATGATGTGGTGTTTGTGATTTTACTAGTGATTTTGATGAAGGTGGTGGTGGTCATGGCAGTGTTCAAAGTGTTAAATTAAGAAGAAAATTTACAAGAATAAACAGTATTCAAATTGGTTCATGATTGTGATGTTTAGGATAATAAATGCATTATGGTTGAAAGCTTATAAACATTTGAAAATCTTCCTCATATTTCTGTGGCAAATAATGAGAGTTCACTGAAATACATTTGTGTTAGGTACAGTACCAACATGTACCAGTACAACCTATCATTACATCACATCACTACATTTGTCCTCACACTACACGCCTTATCTGTCCTAATATAACCTGATTCCGTTGGCTAATTGGTATGCCAGTTGTGGATTGGAGTGGTACAGCAATTTCCTGGTTATGGATTGATTGACTATGACTAACAATCCAATTACTCATAAAATATGAATGTAATCTAACATAACATGTTTGAACTCTACTGGTATTTGAATTAGTCGCACTAAAATAGCCTTTGATATTGTTCAATTAGCTGTAATTAAAGTTTGTCACCTAATAATGGGGTATGTGGGGCATAATCCTTCTTCAGCCATCAACTTATCCAGTCGCCATTTTCTGTGGCTATATTCGGTCGTACATTTAAAAAATATGTACTTTTAAAAGTGTCCTAATTGTAGAAGTTCAAATTTCTCTCTATTTTTTTTTATCTCTGTAAAGCAGAACCTTAGCAGTTTAAATTGTATTCTAAAGTAGTTTTTCATTTAAATTTGTCTCTCAGATGAAGATGATATGGTACCAGATTCTGTTGCTCAGCAACAAGAACCTGAGCAACCTCCTGAGGAAGAGAAAGTGGAGGAACCTGAAGGTACAGTACTAAAGAATTTGTAATTAATTTCATAAAAAAAAATCAGCTTTTTACCTCAGTAATCTATAGAATACAACCAAAAGTGATAAAAAAAAAATGTTATGACATTCTTCTTGGTAGAAATAGAGGCAAGAAAAATGAAAACAGTTGAAAAAAGAAGATTGAATTATGACTGAGCTTTAAAGAGAAAAAAATAAAAGTCAAGTTAACAGACTTTTGCTTTTTCTCATTAGGATATTTTGTTCTATAAATATTGCATAATACTCAATTAATAATGATGATAATAATAACAACGGTTATTTACGTAGCATGTTTACTTTGAATTTACAAAACACTTTTATCATACATAAAGGCACCTTCTGGGGAGCAGGTAATCATCAAAGCAAAAAAGGTCTTGATTAGACAAAAAAATTGAAAGAGAAATATTTATGACTGGTGTAATAGAAAATGTTAGATGGAATATTAGGAAACATGTGTTTTGATCAAAAGCTATTTTACTTATTACTACAACAATATGAATAGAGGTAATGCTTGTAAAAATTTTTGGTTCTTACTTGAAACTCATAATTATGTTATAAATAATGTGTTTTTCAAATACCAAAATAACTTGAAAAAAATGTCATATCATCTCCAAAATAATATAATATTTATATATTTCACATATAAAAATGTTAGCAAACACCTGATGGAATTACTTATCACTGGCATTAATAATATTTGGCATTAATATAGAATTTTATATTGAACTTCTCAAAATGCTTGACAAATTTACTGCATATTTTAATATATTCACTTTCAATTACAGTGGTTAAAGAGTTGTCAAGCGATGAAAAACAGCAAATCATTAATTCTAGTGATTTCCAGTCGTTCTTTGACCGAGCTTCTCGAGTCATGGAGAGAGCTTTGTTTGAGGAGAGCGACATCTTCATGGACTACACAGGTGAAGATAGAGATAGAGAGGGGTAAGTGTCTTGCTCCATTCAGGTATTATAGTGAGTTCTTACTTGAAACTCATAATTATGTTATAAATAATGTGTTTTTCAAATACCAAAATAACTTGAAAAAAATGTCATATCATCTCCAAAATAATATAATATTTATATATTTCACATATAAAAATGTTAGCAAACACCTGATGGAATTACTTATCACTGGCATTAATAATATTTGGCATTAATATAGAATTTTATATTGAACTTCTCAAAATGCTTGACAAATTTACTGCATATTTTAATATATTCACTTTCAATTACAGTGGTTAAAGAGTTGTCAAGCGATGAAAAACAGCAAATCATTAATTCTAGTGATTTCCAGTCGTTCTTTGACCGAGCTTCTCGAGTCATGGAGAGAGCTTTGTTTGAGGAGAGCGACATCTTCATGGACTACACTGGTGAAGATAGAGATAGAGAGGGGTAAGTGTCTTGCTCCATGGAGGTATTATAGTGATAATACTTGCTCCATGGAGGTATTATAGTGATAATACTTCCATGGTTGATCTTAACTATAGGGGGGTCTCGACCATTATAAGTTGGTCTTTTCTGTGTAGCTAATTACATTTATTTTTTTATTTTATTTTATTTATTTGTTCTTTATGCTGGGTTACCTCTGCAGTAACATGTTACTGTTCTCCCAAAGAGCCCAGTATGCATAAAACATTAAAAGCTCAAGAGAAACAACGCAGAACATCAAAAAAGATTTAACATATAAGAATGATGAAAAAAAGTACCTCCCCCCCCCTCCCATTTGAGAACCCCTAAAAGGAAATCTTCTTCTACCAGATTCATTTCTGACTTTAGACAAAATTAAATTTCCTGCAGATCTGGATCTGGTAGAATAGTTATGAACACTGTCAGTGAAAGTGTATGGGATCCCAGTGTCCACACATCTTATTGAAGTTTTATGATATATATGATTTCAGCTTTACTAAAATAATTTATTGATCTATTGACCTTTTTTTGAAGGAAACTTCTGCCTTTGACCTAGCATTTAATAACTTGCATAAATGTCAATCATATTTTATTGGTTTATGTCAACTAAAATATATGTTTATAATTTATACATTCATCTTCCTTGAATCTATTTACAGTGATAAGGATGCCAGTGCTAAGCTTTCACTTAATAGACAGTTTTTTGATGACCGCTGGTCAAGACATCGTGTTGTATCAAGTTTAGATTGGTCAAATCAGGTATGACCCTTACAAACTAAAAGTTTCAATTGCTTGGATGCAAAAATTGATGTTATTTACAACAGTGTTAGTTTGGCTACTTGGGTTTATAGACAGTTGCAGTCACTCTAGCTCTAGCACTATAAATAATAACTAGCAGTATAAATAATATATAATAATTGAATTATAAATTGGATTTATTCAGCATCATTAAAAAAGAAAAACATTGCAAACATCAAACATTAAATACATCATGATGTTACAAAATTGCATTGAGATATATAAAAAGGCATAAAGCCCAAAATTAAGAATTGCAGTATAAATATAATCATATGAAATCAAATTGCTGTTGAACTCATTTTAAATTTTATTGTCATAACATGCAATAATCCTGTCATTAAATACTGTTTTATTGTCATAACATGCAATAGTCCTGTCAATAAATAATATTTTATTGTCGTAACATGCAATAATCCTGTAATTAAATACTATTTTTGTTGTTGCAAAAAGACATACTAATACTGGTAGGCAAATATGAATTGCAATAATAAAATAACTTGACATTAGACATAAATAGTACACTAAATAAAAATAAACATTTTTTTTTTTTTAATGTAATTCCTGGACACTAAGAGATTCTCAAAACTCAATCACAGTTAATGCATTAAAGAGGAATGTTCAATTGGCCACCATTAGAAAGTAATTAAAAAGTAATTATCGTAATAGACATTTAGTGGTATTGGCTATGTCCTGTGTCATTAAATTGATGTCATCCTAAATTCCCTTGATAGTATAAAGTTATTAATTGGCAATTGTTAGCTTAACCTTCTACAATAAATGACATCTTACTGCTTGAATGACAGCAGGTAAATCCCTGCGGATCCACTAGAGCCCATAAGGCTGGAGCTTTATATCCGCACTCTCATCAACAGATGAGAGTGTGATACTCCTCCCAGATGGGACGCTAGAAGTCCATCACAAGCTACTACTAGCAATTTGCTGGTACCCATTGATAAAGCTGAGTAGACTAAGAAATAATCTTTCTCAACCTCGAGGTTTGGAAAACAAACTTTTACCGCTGTGCAAACACACTTTTCCACATATCGGGATTAGTACTAAATAATCTCAAATTATTTATGTGGGTGTTTGTGTCAGTGACACAAAATTGATACCATAAGATGTGTATGCTTAATGCGATACCAAGGTGGCTCATATAAGGTTGCTTCCTTCCCACACATTACAGGTAAATACTACTTTAGGGTAAAAAGCTCTATCTCTGTGATGTGCCAATGTATAGGCATGATGGTGTCATATTACACCAAAATATGGTCTTATCACAGTATTTGTCACACAAAATGTGATAGTGTAAACAGAATGCATAAGAGTAGATTAATATTGTTGTTCCCGTTGTATTTCATAGCATCAAATCTAAGTTTACTTTCAGCTATCTGTTATATTGCATATGTCATTTACTGATGATGTCAGGGGTGGGGGAACTTTGATATTTTGCTTTATAATTGTTTGATTTATTTTTAATATTCCTTTGTTTTCTACTTCTTTTCTTGGTAGTACCCTGAACTTTTAGTAGCATCTTACAATAATAATGAGGAGTCACCCCATGAGCCAGATGGTGTTGCTCTTGTCTGGAACATGAAGTACAAGAAATCAACTCCAGAATACATCTTCCACTGCCAGGTAATTAACCTCCAAACGTACATGGTAGAGTAAGCTGTAACTTTCATGCTGGGGTGCATATTTTCTGTTTCACAGTTCAATGTTTAACCTTAGCGGATTTAATTGTTTTCTCTCAACTAAAGCAAATACGTAAGCCAGATAAGAAGATGTTACCCATGCGTAGTGACATTTTAAAACCAGGGTCTGTTAGTCAGATTTTCTTTTCACTATGACCTTTCACCCAATCCATTTTGGTTAGTAAAATGTAACCACAGAGCTATAAATCATAGGTAAGATACCAAACGTATGCTTTAAAGCTTAAAAAGAGGCCTTTTCAAGCAACATAAGTATTTGCATCCTCATTTTGTTGCAATCATTTTTCCCTAAAAAGAAGCTGCCCCAGGATTTTCTAGATTTCTGGTCAGCATTTATGAATTAGATTGCCTCCTTGCCCTCTATAAGCTTAAATGGAAAATGAGGTGTACAAAATATATTTGGGTTTTTTTTCCCAGTCACCTGTAATGTCGGCGTCGTTTGCTCGTTTTCATCCAAATCTGGTTGTGGGAGGAACTTATTCTGGTCAGATTGTACTATGGGACAACAGAAGCTACAAGAGGACTCCAGTCCAGAGGACACCGCTGTCGGCTGCAGCTCACACTGTAAGTAATAATAATAATAATAATAGATAGATTTATATAGCGAAAATATGCGCTCGGGACTAGATGTTGCACTTTTCAATAACTTTCTCCTCCCCTTAGGGTCACTTCATGTCCTCCACAGCCAGTAAACCGGCGCACTTTCATCTGTCGATAACAGGGGCTGAGTGAACCAGTACACCAGGGTGACCCCCTACTCATCTTGAAAGATGTACTGGGTTCTTTAAAGTGCGCTTAAGCATCTGTGTACACTTGACCTACAGTTTATAGTCCTTATCCGAGAAGACTTGTTTCACCACCAGAACTATAGAAGCGAGCCGGCCGCGAACCCGTGCCAATATTGTTGGCTATGATCACAGGCCCCTGCCTTAACTGCTCGACCATTTGGAGTAGTAGTACTACGTTCATATAAACCTAATTGCCTTTCTATTGATTAAATCATACAAAGTTTTGAGGTAAAACTGATATGGTATCTGTTTTTAGAGGCATATTTTTGGACAGAAAAGTTTGAAATTTTAGTAGTATTATAACATCCTTGTTTTAATTATTATGAACTTAACAAAGTAGAGTAGAAAAGTTGCACTAAAATTGTACAGTAAATTTGATGTTAATTAACATTTATTTATTCATTTGGCATCACTGCCCAGGAGACACAAAAGCAGGAAACCCTCAGTCACCAAAAGGATGTGCGACTCCCTGAAACAATACAATAACAATGAATTAAGTGAACTAAAACAAAATAAAAGGAAAGATTGGAATATTGTGAAAAGCTATGATTTACCATGAAAATAATCGTTAAGCTCGTTTTTTAAGGTTAGAGAAATCAAAATAAATGGCCATTTGGCTGTTTACAATTCAGCATGATTACACTACAAGTTGTGGATTAATTTCCTAATTTCAACTTTAGCTACAGGTTTCCTCCCTGTAATGGTATGTATTATGCTATTTATTTATTTCAACAGCACCCCGTGTATTGTGTGAGTGTTGTAGGGACTCAGAATGCTCATAATCTAATCAGTGTGTCAACTGATGGTAAAATGTGCTCGTGGAATCTGGATATGCTCTCTCAGCCTCAGGTAAGCTTGCAGGTTTATTTATTTATTTAAGCTTTCTTTAACCGGGGTATCCAATCAGTGACTAGCACTGTTTCTAAGGAAGCCCTGGTACATACAGTAAATATAACAAATAATGTTTATAACCATGAAATTCAAAAGTAACTAAAAGTAAATCAAAAACAATGATAAGATAGCCTAAAACTTAAATGAAAGCAGAAAAATGAAAACTACTAAACCAAAATAAAAAAGTTTAATTAAACAAAGGGAAAGGTATTACTGAATACAGATAAAGACCTCTTTTTTAAACATATTGATAACAAAAGTATCAAAACTGTTAGGAATGTTGTGAGAAAGATTGTTCCAAAGATGAGCAGCTCTGGTATGAAATGTACGCTCACGACAGTTTAAATTTGCATTTATGTTTAATACCGATAGAATGCTATGTGCTGCACTTAATGCAAGCCACTGCATGGCTTGAAATATCTATAATGGAAATTGATATCAAAGTTACAAATTCATCCTGTGAAAACAAAGCTATATAATATAAAAAATGTAGCCACTTCAGGGTATGCTAACGAAAGCCTGTTTTCTGTAGTTTCTATACTACACTTTACTAGAATAATATATCAATCAACTAATAAGCTACAACACCCATAATCATTTCAGGTGGTTGTTTTAATAACTTGTATCACTGTAAAGGATGGAGTGGAACCCCAAAAATATTTTTTAATGTGTTCCAAGAAACCACCATGTATTGTCTCCTGTATTCCATGTTCACTTTAAATTAATATGACATAAATAAATAATAATTTATATAATTAATTAATCAGTAATTAATTAACAATCAGTAATTTCATTTTACAGGACAGCATGGAACTCCAACATAAACAGTCCAAGTCTGTAGCGGTCACCTGCATGGACTTCCCAACGAATGACGTGAACAACTTTGTGGTCGGCAGCGAAGAAGGTGCCGTTTATACTGCCAGTAGGCATGGCAGCAAGGCAGGCATTAATGAGGTGTTTGAAGGCCACCAAGGTCCAGTAACCGGTATTGATTGTAACCATGTCCAGGGCCAGATTGACTTCTCTCACCTGTTTCTCACTTCCTCATTTGATTGGACAATCAAGCTTTGGAGCACGAAGGTATTATAAACATTTTTAATTTTATAAATATCTTCAGTTTTAAAAATAATTGGTCATAGAATTTTTGTGGCAGTCAGCTTCCGCATATAAGGTATACTGTATTTGTAGGAAGTTAGGCCAGCTTAAGTGTCTACTTAATACAGTGCAAATTATACCAGCCTAAACATTTACTTAATATGGTGCAAATACAGCAAAGTAATATTTAGTACAAAAAATATTCATTATGGATATCGTAATAAACATAGTTAACATATATTTTATTAAATTTTTTTCCTATACTAGGGTCGTTACATTCTGATCAGGCTCCTTACAGCTTTTTGAGTATCCTGGCTGTTCGACAAAAAATATATATTTTTTTTGTATGAGGAGTACATTTCATATGTCTATTTTTAGTTTTCGGAAGTTATAAATGATACGAAATGAAATGTAACAAATAAAATACCAAATAAAGAAAGAACTAAAAGGGAAAGGTATAAGGAAGAGGAAAAGGAAAGGGAAAAAGAAAAAGAAAATCATGTACAATTTGATAAAATTAATTAAAATAACAAAAAAAAGAAACAAACAATTAAAACAGAAAAATAAACAAACAAATAAAGAACATGTGGAGAGGTTTAAGCCAAGCTTATTTCTCAAAATAATTTTCTTTTTGCTTTTATTAATTTCCTGTAGAATGTTTAGGAGCTACATTAGCTGCATAATATATAAAAATGGCTCAATTTTTTTTTCAATGTATACTGAAATTTTAAGTTTGACAGAAACGCTTTTAATTATCATTTTTTGCAATGTTTTTTATTCTGTCATATGTCTTTTGTAATCTTTAATGTATTGTTGAATAAAGAAGAAGAAAAAAATGTGTACATAAATCAAAAGAGTATTGTATGTTTTTAATAATTGTATGTAAATGTAAAGCATCAGTACAAATAATATATGAAATCTTAGTGTTCTTATAACTATACATCTATGCAGTCAAGAGCACAAGTCAAAGCAAGCACACCCTCTAAAGAATATACTTTTTATGGGTTTTTTTATTTACATCTATCTTTTTATGTTTTCTTGTTCATTTGAACAAGATGGTTTGTCATTATAATGTCCTTGGAAATTATATTTATTCCTATACCACTTAAACACGTTCACTGCTAGGTGAACTCTTACCATTGATGTTCAGGGAAGAACCTGGAAGTTCATGTTTCATTATAGTTGATGGGAATGATTTTTATCATGGTGGCGCCCCTTATGCCTTGGTGTATGAAATGAAACTAGGAAGAAAGGCTTGGCACTCAACGTTTACGATTACTTTACTAACATTTTTTTTATGCTTTGTATAGCAATCAAAACCAGTTTATTCATTTGAGGATAACAGTGATTATATATATGACGTAATGTGGTCACCAATCCACCCGGCACTTTTTGCATCTGTTGACAGCATGGGTAGGCTTGATGTCTGGAACCTTAATAATGACACAGAGGTAAGTAGGAACTTAATAACAAATCTCTGATCATATAGTCAAATTACCAGTCATTCCCACCAAGTCAGACAACATAACTCCTTCAGAAAATTAGACAGTACTAAAACACATTTTGAAATTGTAGATCATTCCTTACCTTTATTATGTCACAAATACTGTATATACTTACAATAGTATTTTGTTATTTAATAGTTACATTTAATACAAAGTGTTTCTATCTTGTTGTAGGTACCTAGTGCTAGAGTGACGTTAGACTCTCAACCAGCAATCAACAGGGTACGCTGGGCACACTCTGGCTACCAAATAGCGGCTGGTGACGCTGACGGCCGTATATGGATATACGATGTAGGAGAGGTACATTTTCAAAACTTTTAACAATGATATTGTCTATGTATTGTTTTTGTAGTGAAACAAATTCTTGTTACTGCCATGAGATTCACTACATATGTTGTATTCAGCTCAAAAATGTTGTATTATTGCTTTGGTTATCTCTTACTGTTGTGTGATTGTGTTGTTTTATGTTGTACGTTTCACCTTTTTGAATTGAATGGACGAGCGGTTAATGCAGAGGTGCCACAACCTACAGCCATAATATTGGTGTTGGTTCTCGGATAAGGACTATAAACCATAGGCCCAGTATACACAATTGCCTCATGTGCACTTCAAAGACCCAGTATATCTGTCGAGACGAGTAGGGAGTTACCTCAGTGTACTTGTCCATACAGCTCCTGTTACTTGCATTAGGTCCTTTAATAATAATAATAATAATAATTTTGGCTTATATAGCGCATTATGCTAAAGCCTCAATGCGCTTAACAGTAAAAATAAAATTCGGGAAAAAAAGAAAAATACAAGTTAAAAAGGTGAGTTTTTAAAGCTGCCTTAAAATCATCAATGGAAGTTGCCTGTCGGATTGTAATAGGCAGAGCATTCCAAAGAAAGACAGAAGCCCAAGAGAAAGAACGACTACCATAATGCTTTGTCGACGGGCGAGTGGAAGGTCCTTTGCGGGATGTATCTACGTAATCATACAATATAATCAATTTTGGGTTTTTTTTCAGAGTTTCGCAACTCCGCGAATGGACGAATGGTCAAGATTTGTCCGGACATTAACAGACATCAAAGCAAATGCTGCGGATATAGAGGCAGACAGTCTAATGCGGTGAAACCGCCACCTCTTGCAGCATGCTATCATCTAACCTATGTTCCATGTGCATGTTTGTAAACTTAATTCTGTGGCTTGATGTGCAACTTTCAAGACTTATCAGTGTTGCTAAGTCTGTTGAGCATTTACAGTAAAAATGGGTTAATGTCCATTCAAAATGCATTCAACCATATTTTATTTATTTATCCACAAAACATATTTATGTTGTAAAAACAAGATTATTCAGTTTTACTGTAATAATAAAAAGCATAAGGATTTAATGTATAAAATTGTGGATTTTACAAAATTGCATTGTATTATACATTAAGAGGCCATATGTAAATTAGCTATTAACTTACCTATGTTTTCATGAGAAAGCAGAATCTGTCGGTTTCACATCTCAAGCACACAAAACGTTAGAATAGTTCTGTGTATAATCACGCATTTACTTCAAAGTGGGCTGATCCAAGTCAGTAAATTTTATATGTAACTGTTATAATAATAATTTCAGAAAATTGTTATTATGCACATTAAAAGTAAAGTGTAGATTTATGCCATTCGCTAGTTAAGGATTACACATTTCTTAAGTACAGTAATAACTTAGACAAATTTTGTCTTAAACAGTCAAACAAAAAATTGTTAATACTGTATCTGATATGTTAGAGCACCCCCATGTGCTAGAATATCAGTACCAACAGTTGAGATCAATATAGGAATGAAATTTTGAAATCTTATCGTACATTTATGAGTTAGTGTTCCCGGTTTTATACCTCAATCCTTAAGAGTTTGTGCTTAAAATTTATTTGATTCCTGTGGGATACATTTTTATGATTTGACCTGTGGCTCAGTGCTTAAGATGCTTGCCTTCCAATCCTGGGGTCCTGGGTTTTCCAAAGACACCCACTGCCCAAACCTCTTAATGAGACCTAGTTAATATGTAGAGCATCATGTGTATATATTGGCCTTGTGAAAGAGATTGCCATTTATAAAATAATTATGTCAGTGATGATGATAATTATTGGAAATTCTTGGCCCATATACCTAAGTGAATAAAAAAAAATAGGTTACCCTTCCCCTCCCCATCCTAGATATAGTGAAATAGTGAATTTATTCATTTTCACATGATATTCAAACCCAATATCTTCTATGTCGGCAATGGATCTTGCATTCTACATGAAAATCTGATCAAATATACAGTTCATTGGAAAGTTCTGGTTTGGGTTTTATTCAACACTTTCTGTAACTTCAATATTATTGTTCGATTTTAATCCACACAGCCCATCCACAAGGATGTGCTGCCTTCAGTGAATCCACACAGTTAATCCACACAGCCCTCCTACAAGGATGTGCTGCCTTCAGTTTTGTTTATGTGGGATGGCAGTTTGTTTTGGTATAAATTGAATTGTTGAATATAGATGTAGAATGCACCTAAAATCCAAGTATGTAAATTATATAATAGTGATATTTAATTATCAAAATAGATTATATTTGTTTTAAATTCCAAACTTTTATGGTTGATTTTTATCATGTAGTGATAAATTTAAATTATTATTATTATTATTATTATTATTATTACTATTTTTATTATTATTATTCTTATTATTATTATTAAATATATACCATCTATGTTGACCTAAAATATAATAATAATAGTAAATGACATTTATAAAGCGCTCAACACCAGTAAGCCAACCCCAGAGCACATACAAAAAATTAAAATTAAAGTATATATTGATGAGTTCATTTGTTTAAAGTTATTAGCTTTTATTTGAAAATTTGAATGGGAGAATGTTTCTCTCTCCATTTAACAGGTGCGTACATAGTATTGTTCCTATAATGTTGTCATTGACCCTAATTTCTGGTAATCAATTTATGGACTTTTGTCTAAATTATAAATTAGAAAGTTCATAACCTTTTTGATTTTTAAAATGATTAATTCAACATTTAAATTCCATTTTGAAGGATTTTTTTCAATATTTTATGACAGATGTTATATCTTGAAACACTTATGTTAATTGATTTAGTGGTGTTTTTTTTTATTCTTGGTTTCTAATTGTGAAATATATTGCTACCAAAATTGTAACTTCATATAGAGTAAAATAACATTGGTTGAGCGGAAAGAGTATGAGAAATAAAAATATGTATGTCGACTCAAATTCCTGATTTTATATTTTGTACTTACATAGTTTTATTGTTAGTACTGATCATAGAGTAAGTCTATAGTTTGTTTATTAATTTTAGAATTCACCATCACTTTCATTTTTTTTTTCATTTTTAAACACTTTTACCATATACGGTACTTTATTAATGAACAGTTTTTATTTGTGATTTTATCAATTTGTTTTCTGTTGCAAATTTTTTTTTTAAATACTTTTACTTTACTGCACTGCTTTTGGAACTAAGCCCTAAGCTCTGTACACAACATATATAGGCATGATGATGTCATATCACAGCCAATTATGGGCATATCACACCCAATTATGGGCATATCACAGTTATTTTTGTCTGTCAGTCTGCCAGACAATGTTTGATCGCATTTCGGTGAAGTGGAGTATTGTCTGACTTCCAGCTGACTTGCAAAGATACGTGCTTCGTCTCATCAGTTCTAAAGCAGGTGCTATAGTATCAAGTCTGATTATAAGCTCGTTGTAAGTGTGACTATGAGGATGGTGGTGTTGATATGGTGATGAAAATAGTTTAGTTATTACTTGATACAAGCACTAGCATATAATAGCTACCTTCAACTCTAAGCAATTTGCCTAGTAAATCTATTGAATAGGCTGTGTTGGTGAAATAATATTTTTAAGTGTACTGATGTTTCAATGCAGACTGAGCATTGTTGATAGGTGATCTTCATTCAACCCATAGCTGAATCAAGAAAATGAGTCAAATTATAAGGATGTTATACTATTTTACTTGTTCTTACCGAGACTACACTTTCATTCACCTCACTTTAAATGGCTCAGTCAAATCATCAGATCATTCAATACTATTTTACTTTATATTCATTAATTAAGTCCTCTTCAGAGGATCTTCCCTGAAGGCAGCTTAGTCTTTCTCAAAGTATCAGAAGTTTAAACATCCGGCCATTGAATAATTAAACTTATCTTTCTAGATCAATATATTTTACAATGTTTTTCCAATAATTATTGTAGGTTTATCTAGGCTCCTTACAGACAACCGAAATCATCAATGGCTTCTGTTTTTCCTATAGATACTTGGTACTGTTGCACCTCATTGTTCCAGGATTATTAACCCAAACTATCTTATTAATTGCCAATGCAAAACATTAGTTATGGTAGCAATGTATCATTTAAATAAATCAGAGGGGGCGGATATCCAGTACCCTTGATACATTTAAGTAGATAAGCGTAGATAAGCAAGCAACCACCAGAATCAATCTGTTGATAATAATTTGGTTGTGTAAATAGGCTTTTTTTAAATTTTGTACAAATAATATGACTACCAAATGGATGTTATATCATTTTACATATTTTGATCCTAAAGTACTGTGTGCACCCTGAACCATGGTTATACCTGGTCCCTTTTATTACATCAAGTTGCTTTTCCCTATAAAATGCAGGGTTTAGTGAGATATCTTTAATTTGCTATCCTCTTTTCTAAGAAGCAATATTCCCAAACCCTGCTTCTAACATTTTAACACAGCACCCTAATACACTTTTTCAAATCTGGATAATGCCCTGATTTATGTGGCAATCATATATATACATGGTAAAAAATATGAGGCCTATAATATTAGGTAGGCCTGTATCACTATAGTTAAAGGGGTCATACTAATACAACCCATCCAGTTAGCTCAAAATATGTAGCTTATCGCAGTGCTTTGTACCTATTGGTGCCGTACTGTGTATGTACCGAGGTTTCACTAATCAGACCTTATCAGCTCCTATCCCCCATATCTGATGACTCTATACTAAATATTCTAACCCTTGTTTTCTGAACTCTGTGGATTGGTTCTTTGCGCAGTAACCTTGAGGCCTAAGCGCTCAAAGTTTCTTGGCTGTTGCAACAGAATATATAGAATTTCACAGCATCATGATCATAAGAATCATTATTTTTTCTGTCCTTGTTGGTTGTGGTAAGTTAAGTTTTTATATTTTTTTCAGTCATATACTCATTTGCTTAAATTATTTAGGCATTAAATACTATCTAAATGAATATAATTATGTAAAAACAATTGTTGATTGTAAGTTAAGTGAAAAATAAATGCACTTAAAATATTATTACAATATTGTATTATGGCTAAGATTTCTCGACCTTGCCTTTTGTTTGCCATTGTTATGAATCCTGTTGTCGAAGTTTTTTTTTTCTTGTCCAGTATGTAGCCAAGGATGCGGAAAAGATTGGCAACAATTTGGGAACACATGTTACTTTGCATCCCAAGCATTGGTACCATGGAGTACGGCTCGAGACACGTGCAAGGACATGGATGCTGACTTGGCAATTATCAGGAACAACGAGGCAAATGTTAGTATAATGAAATTAATCTTTTTATCTCCATATTTTTTCATTAGTTCTGAACGTAAAATACAGTTGAAAACATAAACATAAACACAAGAAAGGGAAAATATATGTGCCAACAGTAGGCCACTATTTCTATACAACATTGTTTACCAATTAAAATAGAAATTTAACATTTACATACTTCTAAAACTTTTAAAAGTCTGCAATAAATATATTGATTTCTCATGTACAGTTGACAGTATTCAGAAACATGCTTAAATTAATTGGGAGGCAATACATTTTTTCAGCCACAATTGTGTCCCAAAATCCTTCCCAAATTTTAATTATTTTTATAAATT